AATTTTGCTTCTCTTAATGTAGCCCAATATAAAATCAACTCTTCTGGCTACTACCTCACACTGCTGACTCATACTGAGCTTACCCACCAGAACCAGCTTACCCACCAGAACTCCAGGATCTCTTTCAGATAAGCTACTGTCTAACCCTGCTTCCCCTATCCTATAATTCTAGGATTGATTTTTTTTAACTCACCTGTAAGACTTGACATGGATAGCTATTCAATTTCTATCTCAAAATGGAAAGAACGCCCCAGCTTGTCAAGATCTTTTGTGATCTTGACTCTGTTTTCTAGGGCATTAGCTGTCTCTCCCAACTTTGTGTTATTTGCAGATTTGAATGTGCTATCTCTGCCTCTAGCCAAGCCACTGATAAAGATGCTAGAGAGCCAAGCATGGGTTCCTTGGGCACTCCTACCAAAGGGACATTTAACTAATAACAACTAATTCTTTGACTATTCAGCCTTTGTCAAACTCCATCTAACTGTATTTTCATGATGTCCACATTTCTTTGCCTTTTCCACAAGAATAACATGAAATATATTATCAAACCACATCCCTCTGATCTAGTATTTCCACATTTCATTTGGAGGATGCATATAGCTATATAAGTAAATATAAAATATATTCTAATAAATATGAGAGTTTTGGAGTAAGAGGATAACTGGGGGAGAGGGAGTAAGGAGGTGGAACCTGAGCTCAGTTTTGAAGGATGCTGGGAATTCCAAGAGGCAGAGGTGAGGAAAAAAGGGCATTTCAAACCTGGGGGACAGCTTGAGCCGAGGGAGCCCCAACATGGAATGTTGTCCGTGAAGAACAGCAAGGAAGCCGGTTTGCCTGGACAATATGAAGGAGAATGAGGTGCAGTGAGCCTAGGAAGGTCAACTGCAGCTAGATTGCAAGACTTTAAATGCCACACAAAAGAATTTGTGTTTTATCTTGGAGGCACAAGGGAGTCGCTGAGTGTGATGTAGCCAAGGAGGAGGGTTGGGAGTGGGGAGACTTGAGGCAGGGAGATCAGTTAGAAAGCTATTGCAGTAGACCATGTGAGAGGTGATGAAGGCCTGGACAAGGGTGATCACTATGTGAGGGGGGAGAAGGGGAAAATGCAAGGGATGCTGTGAAAGTAGAATGAACAAAGACCGGGCAACTGGCTATGGGGAGTGAGGGAGAGAGAAGCTATTCTGCTTCCTGGAATATAAACACAGTCTATCTCCAGGAGTGTACTCAAAACCTTTCCAGCATGGTAGAACCTTCTAAAATAATAACGATATTTGCAAGGTTTGCAAATCATTTTATATAAAGTGGCGCAGTGGATAGAGCATTGGGCCTGGAGTCAGGAATACTCATCCTCATGAACTAGCCTCAGACACTAGCTGTGTGACCCTGGAGAAGTCATTTAACCCTGTTTTCCTCAGTTTCCTCATCTGTAAAATGAGCTGGAGACAGAAATGGCAAATCATTCTAGTATCTTTGCTGAGAAAACCCCAAAATGGAGTCATAAAGAGTTGGACATGACTGAAAAATGACTCAGCAACAACAACGAAGGTTCCTTCTAGTTCTAGGGACCCTGTCAACATAGCCTGGCTTCTGTCTCACTATGAATACTGGACTCATTTGGACTCAGAACTAGAAAAGTAGGAGTCAGAAAAATAGAACTCAGTTCTAGTCCTGGTTCTATCATTAATTAGCTGGGTAGCCTTGAGCAGATCCCTTCTGTGGTTCAGTTTTTTATTGGTAAAACTGTTATCCTCACTCAGAGGGTCATTGTGACAATCTCAAGAGTTCATGGAAGGAAAGAAGTGTTTATTAAGCATGTGCTGTGTGCCCCACCCTGTACTAAGTACTTTATAAATTATTATCTCATTTGATCCTCATAATGTCTATTTTACAGCTGAGGAAACTGAGGCAGGACCCTATACTAAGTACTTTACAAATATTATCCCATTTGATCCTCACAATGTCTATTTTACAGTTGAGGAGACTGAGGCAGACAAAAGTGATTGAACTTCAGTTTTCCTGACTTCAGACTCAGTACTCTATCTACTGTACTGCCTTTTAAGGGAGTTTTTCTGGTAGATTCTCCCAACATGGAAGAAACTCTAATATAGGGCCCAGTATGATTGCCATATGAAGATCAGCCTAGAGGCTCATCACCAAGTGGGCTATATATTCCCCAGAGCCTGGCACATAGTTGTTGTTTTTGTTCAGTTGTTTTCAGTCGTGTCTGACTCCAGGACCCCATTTTGGGGTTTTGTTGGCAAAGACACTGGAGTGGTTTGCCATCTCCTTCTCCAGCTCATTTTATAGATGATGAACTGAGGAAAACAGGGTTAAGTGACTTGCCCAGGGTCACACAGCTAGGAAGAATCTAAGGCTAGATTTGAATTCATGAGGATGAGTCTTCCTGACTCCAGGCCCAGTGCTGTACCCACTGTACCACCTAGCTGTTTTGGTACACAGTACGCAATTAATAAATGATTCCTGATTGAGTGAAAGGAAAGTTAATGGAGGTGAAAGTGTTTTGGAAAGCATGAAGCTTCTTACCAAACATGGTATTGATAAGCATGTTTGGAATGACACGTGGCATCCTATAAAAACACCATCAACTTAAGAATTCTTTCCAATCTGGCCAGGCATCTAAGACATCACTCACAGTTTGAGTGTCCCTTCTGTTTCCTGGAGAAGGAGTATCTTGGGTATAATGTCTGAAAGGATTATTCTAAATAGTCTTTTAAAAGTGCACATTTCAAATGAGCCACTCAGCAGGACCTTTTCTGGGAGCCCTGAGCTATTCTAAGAATATGAAGCACTGCTGGGTTCAGTTGGCGGCTCAGTTCTGAAAACATATCCAAGATTTCCACCTACCTAGATGGTACAGTGAAAAGCAAACATCCCCTAGTCTTTGTCGGGACAAAGCCAGAGCCGCTCTTATTGATGGCTGGTCTAACAGGCAGATCCCCCACCTCAACATCATTTATCACTGTGACACTTGATTTGGGATGTGCATTGAATGAGGGAAAGGGCTAATGAAGCCTCATACCACCCTAACCTAGATAATCTTCCTGGGGAATATTGGGTAGGGTGGGGTGAGCACCCCAAAAAAAGCTGCTCCCAAATCACCCACATGGAAAAAAGTTTGCCCCATTAAGATGGGGGACCTTTTTCTTTCATTCTTGCTGCATCTATTTCCTCCACTGACCTCTACCACCTAAAGCCATTTGTGACCAGAGGCCGAGGCAGCTACTGGTATTGACTTTTCTGTCTGAGCCAAGGAGGCCTGTGGGGATGCGGGGTTTTAGTTATCATGTATTTGTGCCTGCCAGTCACTCTTAGGCTTCTGGGAAAAGGTTTGTGTGGAGAAGAGTGAGCCAGTTCAAACTGCCCTCTGAACCCCCCTGGCAACAACAAATTCAGAGAGTCAATGTGGTGTAAAGGGGAAAAAAATTAGCAGTTGAAGTCCCTGTTCCTGAGCTGGACATTTTTGTCACCATGAACACATTTTATAATCCTTCTGAACTATTATTAGCATTAGCTAAAGAGGGGAAGGTCTTCTCAGAACAATATTCAGGACTTGAAGTTGGTAGCTTAATGGAGATGGACAGAGTCTTCCCTCCCACCAAAGTTCCAATGGGGAACCTGCTTGAACATTTAAATGGCAGAAAGAGCCAGATTCTGTTGAAGGAGTGGGCTCTTGGGAGTTTGTGAAATGGTTCATGACTTGGGGTAGTGGGGATTCAGTATTGAAGAGGTCTTGACTAAGCCAGTGCATGCACGGTCCTTTGTGATCTTACAGGTACAGTTAGGGCCTGGGTATCTAAAGGCACTACTCCATTTTCCTTGGGCTCTAAGCCTTATTATATAGATATAGATATAGATATATTTTTAGGCAATTGGGGTTAAGTGACTTGCTCAGGGTCACACCGTTAGTGTCAAGTGTTTGGTCTGAGGCCGGATTTAAACTCAGGTCTTCCTGACTTCAGGGCTGGTGCTCTTTCCTCTGCGCCACCTAGCTGCCCCATAAGTCCTATTATCTTTAAGGCTGGTTACGGTACCTGTATAATGCCGAGAAAACAGACAAACATGTTGCAGCACTAGCCCATAGGAGCAGCATGGCATAGTGAAAAGATACTGGGTCTAGAATCAGAGGTTGTGGGGTCAAACCCCACCTCTTTCCCCCTGTATCACCTCAGGTCAGTCCTCTAATCATGCTGGGCCTTAGTTTCCTCATATGTACAGTACAAAACAGGGGTTTTGAGTAGATGGCTCAGAGGTCTCTCCTAGCTATAAATCTATTATCATGGGGACCAGAAGTTGAAGGGGAGATAATCAGCCTCACCTTATAACATATGCTCCAGGAGGCCCTAGGGCCTCTGCACATCTTTGTAAGACAGTCAAGCAGAATCACAAGCATAGTCAAATGGGGATTTACAAATGAATTGTCCCCAAAGTTGGGACTGGGCAAAGAGTCTGGTAGAAACTTCTCTTAGTCATCTAAGAATATGTAAATAAGCTTTGTGCAGTAGTGAGAATCTCTAAAACTTAATCCCCCCCCCAGCAATTCCTAAAGACCCTGGGTCAGGTGTAAGAGAGAGACAGTTTTCTTTGCATACACTTCCCATATGTTCAACAAGGATTTTGCATGTGTCTTCTGGCAACTCCTCAGCTAAAATGCTATTTCTTGAACAATTGGCATTTATTTTGTTTTTCTATTCGTGTCGATTGACCCAGCTTTCTTACCCCAGAAGCCCACAGCAGAAAGCCAGAAGGTCTGCCACTGAGTATAGGAGAGATAGAGAAGAGGGAAGAGACATGGGGTCTAGAGAATGAATGGCCTCCTCTCAGCCCCCCAGTCAGGCTTGAGGGCGGCCATCACCCATCCTTACCTGGCAGCCCCCCACCCCAGCCTGCACCCCCAGAACTCATGACAGCTTGAAGGAAGCCTGAAGAGAAACCTTGCAAGAGGAAGTGGCTTCTGAACTCTACTGCAAACTCTGAGAGTGGCAGGAAAGGGGAGAGGGGGTGGGGGGCAGTGGTGAGATGGCGAGCTTTGCATGCTCAGCCCTGCCGCGACAGCGACCAGATCAAACCACAGATGGTGAGTGAGTTTGAGAGGGAGGCAAAGAAGAAACTCACCCAGGTCTGACACCGGTGTTTTGTAGCTGCGCCTGTTAGGGAAAGGAGGGCTGTGGGCGGAGAAGGGAAAAGGTTAGCCCGCCGAGGAGCCAGCGGTCCTTTTTTAAAGTAAAGGAAGGAGGTGGCAAGAAAAGCCAGCAGAAGCAGAGGAATTGGAGGCGAGGGGTTGTTGGAAGCAGGAGCACGGGGGGAGCTGAGCACACAGCATCCTGCTGGCTCCCTGGTTGAACAGGAACTGAACTGAGAAATCCTCCCGCTCGCTGCCGCTGCCGCATTCGGAGCTCCGGGGGTCTCACCACCGCGCACGCTGCCCCCAGGCTGCCTCGCGCCCATGAGCTAGAGAGCCGCCTCCCGTCGCGGGCCCCCGCGGTAGATGACCGTGGACAGCACCATGAGCAGTGGGTACTGCAGCCTGGATGAAGATCTGGAGGACTGTTTCTTTACTGCCAAGACTTCCTTTTTCAGGAATGCACAGAGCAAGGCCCCCTCCCAGGTAAAAAGGAAAACCCAAAGAGGGAGGGAGCTACCTTTATTTGGGGGGAAATAAGGGCCCCTCCAACTCCCTGGACTCTATGCCAGGATGGATGCCTCACACCCAGGAAGAAGCTACAGGTCTGTCTGTCTGTTTCTCTGTGTATGACTGGGAAGGTGGTTTTTGTTTGTTTGTTTTTTGCCTTTAGGATATGTGAGGCTGCCTCTCCTGAAGATGCCAGGCTGGATAGAGGATGGCCTGGCACCTTTAGGCAAATTGCCCAGGGTAGTTTTGGTTTCTCCCATCTTAATCTTATGCAACCAATCCTTTAGCTCTAGCTAGGGTAGTCTGTCCTAACTGTGATGATGGTGTGATCTCGTGGTGGGGTGGTCTGGTGTCGCTTGTGAATGTAAGAAGGTAAAAGTTGGCAGCACCCTCTGCCTTTATCAGCTAAATCCATGCCCCAGAAGGATTAGCTGGAAGGTAGATGCCACTCCAGCTCTTAGCAGGACAAAGGTGGGGACTTCCGCATTTCAGTCCCCATAGGGCTTTGCTCAGAAACCATCTTAAAAACAGAGCTCTCCAACTCTGCAGAAGTCAAGAGTGTTTCAAGAGGAGGGCTGACCTGAAAGCCTCTGAGCTAATAATTTTCCCACACTTCATAGTTTTAACTTCCTGGATTGCTTTAGGCCCCTACCATGGCTTACATGAAACTTTGGAATGGGGGGGGGTTCCCGCTGGCTGCTTCCCAAACACAACCAACATGTCCCCTACCCCCCTCCCACACAAAATGGTTGCATTCTTGTCTCACTATCTGTTACATATCTTGGCTATAGTAGTGGCAGAGTTGTTTGCTTGGCTTTTTTTTTGTTTTAATTATGAGAGGAGGGCTCTGAGCCAAATTCTGGGAGGGGCTGTCTGAAAAGGGACCATTTGTTGGGGGAGATTGAGCTGTTAAATTTCACAGGTGTGTGGCAGGCTCATCAATAATTCAAGATTCTTGTCCGGATTATAATTAACAACAACAAAAAAGATCTCAGCCTCATCTCTGGGGCCTCCCTATCAATAATTCACCTTGCCAAGAGCACTTGCTTAAACTGAATTCTAAGGTCTCATGTCTGGGAGGTGATCATAACAACTTCCCTTCCCCCACCCCTTGTACCTCCACTCACCCCCCCCCCAATTCCCCTGACCTCTCTCTGCTCGGTAAAAATCAGAGTTCTTTTCTCCATACGTTGTGTTGGTTCCGTGTTAGTTCAGTCCCTCTGCCCTTTGCCACTAGTTGTTCGATCTTCAAGGTAGCAGGACCTCGAGATAAACATACTGGATCTGGAGTCAGAGGACTTGGATCTGGCTATACTTGTTCTAGCTGTGTGATGGAGCGACCCAAAACATCTCCTGATGGCCTGCATTCAGAGAGGTCTAACTTCCAGGAAGAGAGGGGTGCCCCTCCACTCTGTCCTTATCAGACCTCATCTGGAATATTGTGTCCAGTGCTGGACACCCAGCTTAAGAAGAACATTGGAAAACTAGAGAGCGTACAGAGGAGGGCAGTCAACATGGGTGAAGGGCCTTGAGTCCATGACACGTGAACATAGGCTAATGAAACTGGGCACGTTTAATCTGGAGCAGAGGCGATCCAGGGAGGAGTTGGTAACTGTTGTCAAGGATTAGAAGGGCTGTCACATACAGGAGGGACTAGATGTTTTTCTAGTTTGGCCCCAGAGAGCAAAACCCAGAACTGTGAGGATGAGAAAGTGTTCAGGAATCCAATTCAGTCTTTCTTTTTTCTTCTTCTTTCTTTTTCTTCTTCTTTCTTTCTTTCTTTCTTTCTTTCTTTCTTTCTTTCTTTCTTTCTTTCTTTCTTTCTTTCTTTCTTTCTTTCTTTCTTTCTTTCTTTCTTTCTTTCTTTCTTTCTTTCTTTCTTTCTTTCTTCACCAGGCAATGGGATTAAGTGACTTGCCCAGGGTCACACAGCTAATAAGCGTCAATGTCTGAAGCCAGATTTGAACTCAAGTCTTCCTGATTCCAAGGCCAGAGCTCTATCTTCTACACCATCTAGCTGCCCCCAAATTCAGGCTTTCTAAGCCTTAGAGAGGGCAGCTTGGTGGCACAGTGGATCAAGTGTAGGGCCTGGAGTCAGGAAAACTCATCTTCATGAGTTCAAATCCAGCCTCGGACACTTAGTAGTTCTGTGACCCTGGGCAAGTCACTTAACCCTGTTTCTGTTAGTTTCCTCAGTTGAAAATGAGCTGGAGAAGGAAATGGCAAACCACTCCAGTATCTTTGTCAAGAAAACCCCAAATGAGGTCATGAAGAGTCAGATGTGACTGAACAACTATCGTTAGAGCAGACTTGGTTGCCTTACGAGGCGGTGAATTTCCCTTCCTTGGTGGACTTCAGGCAGAGGGTGGATGACCACGTGTGAGATATATTATAGCAGGGCTTCCTTTCATGTCTGAGTTGGACTAGAGGTCCCTTCCAAGTCTCAAATTCTGTGAATCTTTGATTGGGCACATCACTTCATCTCTCTGACCCTCAGTATTCTTACCTACAAAATGGGTATAATAATTCTTATGTCTTTCCGATCTTAAAGTCTGATCCTGTAAAGGACCAGATCCATGCCAGCTTAACTCAGATAGTAAAATAATAGTTCACATTTTTATGGTGTTTTAAATTTTGCAAAACACTTTCCTCTCAGAAGAGGTAGGTAGGGCAGGTCTTATGGCCTTATGGCTACAGTGCTTAATACAGTACCTGGCACATATTAGGCACTAAATAAATTCTTGTTGATGGATTATCCCCATTTTACATATGAGAAATGGAGGTTCAGAGAAGTGAAATGACTTGCCCAGGGCCACATAATTTTCAAGTGTCAAACCCAGGACTCTACCTAGCACAGGCTTCCTGACTCCAAGAACAAAGTATAGCGCACAGCACAGAGAGGTGATTAATAAATGCTTTGGAGGTAGAAAATGGTGGTGATAATTTTAACACCTCTCTCCGGAGGATTGCTGCTTTTGAAGGGTTTGGGCTGAATTATAATGAGCTTTGATATCAGGCATAGAAGCTTTCTCCACCAGCTGATTCCCTTTCAGCCTGGAGCTCCACATTGTGGAGCTCGGTAGATGAGTGAGAAATCACCCTAATAGGGCTGGGATAAGGGGGTGGGGTGGGATATCACTGTGGCTGGAGAGATGGGCAGGACTAAGGGAGAGATGCATATGGCTTAGGGGATGAGGTTGAGGGGGGAGGAATCTGGTGGGGCAGTTGCCCTTATAGGAATATTACAAAAATGTATTATTTTTAAATAACATTTTCCAGAACTCATTTCTTACTCAGCCTTGCATCCAAAGGGGATTTTAAAAAGATTCCCTTCCTTACAGCATGCAGATTTCTTTTTCCTTGGCTGTTTTCCTCCCTATGGAAAGAGAAGGGCTGAGTTTCTAAAGGATTCCTCTTCTCCCATCCTCCATCAACTCCCACCTGCAACCCTGGGAGATGGGGTCTCCTGGGGGGGAAAAAAACTCTTCCTGTGTTTCTGTGTGGCAGGGGTGGCAAAGCCCACACATTGGAGAGGCTGTAGCACCTGCTATAAATAGCCCTGTCAGAACGACCTAACTCCTCCTCAGCTCCTTGCTGGAGCAGAAGCACAGCAACATCTTGCTACTGGCAAGAGGCTTCCACACAGCTAATGCTGAATCGCACCACTTCAAAGGGAGCACAAACCAGGCCTCCCTCCTGTCACTGTGTCCTAACTCTACCCCTGGGAGGAGGCAAGAGGAAGCAGTCAGTCACCTCCTCCTCTCCCAGAGAAGGGGAACCTCACACCCGGAAGTGTGAAGCCAAGGTCGAACCAGTAATAAGAGAGAAAGTCACTGGCTAGATCTTGGACTCACAGAAGAACAGAATGTTAGAAGGTTACATCTGGATGGGACCAAGGGGGTCCTGTGGTCCAAATCCCTCATTTCACAAAAGAGGAAACTGAGGACCAGAATGGGGGAGGGACATGCCAACAATCATACAGCTAGTAAGTGATTGAGCCAGGATTTAAATCCAGGGTCTCTGACTCAGACTCCAGAGTTTTTACATTAGACCAATCCAGCTTGGGGCCTTATTTCACCAGAAGGCCATCTGGCTGCCTTCTTCTGGCCCAGTATCTCATTCAGTGGGAGAGGACTTAATTTTGAATCACCATTCTCAGCCACAGCAGGTAAATAGCTAAAGCAGGATGTCCTGGGGTATTCTCCAGTGTAGACATAGGAAATTAGGCCCCAGATCTTACTTATGTGAGTAAAAATTGGGGTATATGTAAGTAATGGGGAACTAGCAATCTACAGCAAGTGGGAGCTACATTGGCTTTAGAATGTTGGTGCTATGAGCCCCCAGTGGTGTTTTTCCCTTTATGGTATTTTTAATTCCTTCACGTCCCCTCTTCCTTTCTGTTCCTACCACCACCAACCCAGTGACACTTGTCCAGCACTTAGCACCATTCCTGGCAAATAATGAGTGCTTAATAAGTACCTTTTTTTTTAAGGCAATTGGGGTTAAGTGACTTGCTCAGGGCCACACAATTAGTAAGTGTCAAGTGTTGGATCTGAGATGGATTTGAACTCAGGTCCTCCTGACTTCAGGGTCAGTGCTTCATCCACTGCACCATCTAGCTGTCCCTTACTAAGTACTTACTGACTGACTAGTGAAGGCCCTAATTACCAGCCATCTTAGCTAATGCAATAGCTTCCTTACAGGTCTTCTTGCTTTCATTTGTCTCCCCTCTCCAGTGCATTTTTCCACTGCTACCATACTAATCTGCCCTATTCACAGACCCCATCTGGTCACCCTGCTCAAAGCTCTTTGGTAGTTCCCTATTGCCTCTTAAACAAAGTTCAGACTCTTTGGCCTGGCATTCAAGTCCCTTCGCAGTCTGATGCCACTCTGCCTATCTGGTCTTTTTATGCCACTCCCTTCCAAGTAGGCTGCATTCCATCCAGTAAAACTGGACTACTCTCCATTCCCAGTGT